CTTTTATATTTTCAAAATAATTTATTTAGATTACTAAGTTTCTAATCATGGTTCAAAACTGTTATGATCTGACCAATTCACGGGTAATTCATTTATCAATTAACAATTACGGTTTTGATCAACAAAAAAAGAACATATCGATTTTTACCATGGATTTCACTTTTCTAAAAATTAATAGACATTTCTACTGAAATTTCAAAAAAGATTGATCGAAAGTTATTATATACGATTATAATTTTATATCTGATGTGAAAAATGTTCACATTTATAATTAATTTTTTTCAATTATTGTATAGATATTTGATATAATTATTTAACCTAATGTATCCTATCCCATCTAGCCGTTAAACCCCCCTTAATCTTTAATTTGTGAATGAAAATAATGAAGTTTTAAAGATTTATGATTAATAAATTTAATTGGTTTTTAACATTAACCGAAAACGAAACATCCAAATTATGTTATAATGTCAATTCAAAAAAAAGGCTTGGATCGCGATCCTGAGAAATATCCACCTTGTTGTGGTGGATGATAACCGCCAGAGGATGCAGAAGATGCAGAAGTCGAAGATGATGGTGCTCTGTTAAAAAAGGATGATGGACTTATTCCACCATAATTTTGGTTTCCTGCCCGAGAAGGTGGTGTGTGCACTGACTGAGGTGATGAGTAAGATTGATTAGGATGCCTGCGAAGACGCTTTAAATCATCGATGAATTGTTGAGGTGTCGTAATATGTGATGAACCTATAAATCGAAAACAAAATAAGAATTACGATTTTTAATAAAATGAAACAAAATAATGTAACAACAGTTTACCGATGACAACATCTCGACTATATTTGTTTGATAGCTCATAGGCAGAACGAAGTTCAGAGTATGTAACACCACCAGCTACAAACACTATGATACGAGGATTTCCTGCAGTCTAAAGTATTATAATTTTTATAGTGTTATTAGAGTCATTGAAACTAATTTGGTAAAATGTTTTAATAAGCTTACCGTTGAACCTTTCTTACTCCATCCAGCTCGAGCACTAATATCAATCATACAATTAAGCTTATATATTAGTATATGTTCATTGCTTTGAATTATCAAACATTTACATACCTTCTTAGAGAAACAGGACCCTGTGGTAAAACCTTAACTTCATCAGGATCACCTGTTGGATCCCTTGTATATGGATATGCGGTATGATCTATTGTTTTATTAATATGACTCTAAATGAAAATAAGAATCATATATTAACAAAAAGGTGTTACATATAATAATAAAAAGAGGATTTCTAATATTAACCATGTTTATTTTAACTGAACCACCCTAACCATAAAATAATCACGATTAAAATGGGAAAATTTATAATAAATCATCGCACCTCTAAAACTAACTTTAATCTTGGAACATATCGAGAAATCTCATAACAGTCTGGATCTTCAGGTTTTTGTCTATATTTTTTAGTTTTTTTAAAAGTGCTCGATGATGACTAAATATATATATATAATAAATGTTAATCAGATACGCTACAAAAAAAAAAAAAAAAAGCGATTAATAACTAACGTACCCTAATCAATTTAACACCAAACAATGTTAAATTATTGATGGCATCATTTTCTGGTAAGGAAATCCTCGCGTGAGCCAAAAGCTTACGCCTATCTTCCTCTAATATACCATTCTTATACATCATGTAAAGCATGAGAACTCTTACTTTAGTATATGAACTAAAATAAATCATAATAAAATAAGAATAAAAACCAATGGATCGTATAAAATATCTAACTTTAATTCTAAATTGGTTACCATTATTACCTAACAAAAGAACTATCTAATAATGGCACCATGTCTTCAACCAGTGTTTTTGGATGACGACCATCAGAAGTGTATCCAGTGGCGCAATTCTAAGAAAAATAATGTGTTAATTGAATTAACTATAAATATTTTAAACAAATTATAAATACCTGTTCAATTGTA